GGTGAGTCCTAAGGGCTCTTTTGGGAAATAAAGCAGAAGGGAAAGTGTCTTTGTGAATAAATACTGATCCTCAAAACAATACAACCACTGATAATGAAGAAGGGTCAGTTTTCAAAACTTTGTACCAAGTTTGCTTACATTTCAGAAAAGAAGTATAATGATGTATTTCATACACATGTAGCACAAAGCTTAATTTGTTACCTCTTTACAGACTTAGCTGAATTTTGCATTCTTATTATATGGTCAAGTCAGGGTCATTAACAAGGATAAATGTGATACAGCCTCATCTAAAGAAGACAGCCTGTGGATTACAGGAAGGCTTAATATGATACATAAAAAGGCAATACTGAGAGAGTGAGTAATATGACAGCATATGATGCTTGTCCAAAACATGTCACACTTATATTGATTCTGAAACCATTATAAGCAGATTTCACCACAATTAGGGTGATAGCTACTACTAGATTATCTTTGTTTTAATGTCTGTTTTCAACTGGTGTTTTAGCCTTTGTTAACTGACAGCAATAATTTCTTGTCTCTAGGCCATCTTAAAAGATCAAGTAAATCTTGTAATTGGGTAGTTAAGGTATGGGGGACCCAGAGCAAGAAGTGTCTTTGCTTCAATTTCTGGTCACTTGCTTGTATGAGCAACTGATGCTGATGTTAATGAAAAACTATCTTGAACTTTTTTGAGGACACGGGATATCCCTGCCGCACCAAACCGGGCTGGAAATGAAAGCAAACTGGGCTCAGGGACGGCCCGGCCACAGGCTCTGGTGCTACTGGGACGGCTCTGGCAGAGCATGAGGCTCCTGTGGGAGAAAGATTCCCAGCTGAAAGGTCCGAACATTTACCAGCTATGCCCTTTAAGGCTGTGATGAGCAATTCTCTCAGCTGGTACCAATAAAGGTTTGGTTCTCATTCACACTTAACAGCTCTCAGGGGTTGGCAGGTGTGCTCTGCTCACCGTCCAGAGGGCAGCAGGGAGCTGCGGGAGGCCTGGCAGCGCCAATCCATCTGTGTGCCTTCCACTCCCAGCTCACTGGACACAACTAGTTGGTGGCTAAGACAGACAGCAGGGGGCGAGGAGGGGCAGTCCTATCAAGTGCCTTCAATGGGGGAGAGGTGGAACTATTTGGCAAAGGGAACTGAAGGCAACACATTATTTAATAAAATAGTAAGATAACCTAATACTTGGAAAACCATGGAGTTGCTCTTGAAAATTTCTGCCTTAGTTCCCACAAATTAGGAAATGTATTAAATTTTGAATTACAATTTGACAGTCTGTTTCTCAGTTCGCAGAAGGTCTAGTCAGAGTTGGAATGACTCTATTTTTGATCAAGTTCTCAGTTTCAAGTTACAGTTATTACCATAAGAAAAGTAATTAATTGGTGTTGTAGACTAATCCATATGCCACCAAAATATGACAGAATGCAAATGAAATGTGTCTCCATATGTCTTTCTTATTTGTTATTCTTTATTCTGGTTCTTTATAGATAGACATGCTCTTTGTATATGCAGACATTCCTCTTCTAATTTATTATGCCAATACATTCTATTTTTGTTAGGATTTTTAGTTATTATTTTTAATCTAAGTTATATATGTAACCCTTTGAAGAGTCAGATTGTTCTATAAGGCTTGTTAGGAAAAACAGCTCACACAGCCCCACCCTTTACTTCCTGCTCTCCAGAAGCCACCACTTTCAATTCTTTTACCCATTTTTTTCATCTTTGTATCTCTAGCTTATTTTGCCACTTCCTGATTTTTCTAGAGAGTATCATACATTGACTTTCCACTATGGAAGATAAAAATTTAGCTCTACTGACCACCAGCAGCACTGTTCCTTCCCCATGCAAACACATGGTTCCCATACCTCCTCTGAGATAGAATTTAATCCTGATTTTGATTAGATTGATAGTCCATAGGCTCCTATTATATTGTGTATGGGGGTATGTTCCAAGGCCTGCAGCAGATGGCTCTATGGATAGTACCAAACCCTATATATACTACATTTTTTCCCTGTATGTACATATCTGTGATTAAGTTTAATTTACAAATGAGGCATAGTAAGAGATTGCCAACAATAACTAATAATAAAATAGAACAATTACAATTGACTGTTGAATGCAGGTGTGAACTGTGTAAGTCTATTTACATGTGCATTTTTCTCAATAAATATATTGGAAAATTTTTTGGAGTTGTGCAGCAATTTGGAAAAACATTTTTTTCTCCAGCTTTCTTTATTGTAAAATACAGTATATAATATATATATATAACATACATAATATGTGTTAATCAACTGCTTATGTTATCAGCAAGACTTCTAGGCTATTTGTAGTGAGGGTCATGGAGAGTCAAAGCTATACATGGATTTCTGACTGCACGGTGGGGGGTGGTCAGTGCCCCTAATCCCTGTGTTGTTCGAGGGTCAACTATGTAACAATATACTGTAATAAAAGTTGTGTGAACGTGCTGTCTCTCAACGTATCTTATCATACTGCACCCACCCTTCTCCTGGTGATGATACAGGATGATAAAATGCCTCCGTGATGAGAGGAAGTGAGGGGAATGATACAGGCATTGTGACCTAGTGTTAAGCTACCACCGACCTTCCGACCATAGTCAGAAAGATGGTCATCTGCTTCTGGACTGTGGCTGACTGACGGTAACTGAAACTGAGGAAAGCCAATCTGTGGATAAGGGGGGGTCTACTGTAATGTCTATGGAAATTACAGTCACAACTCAGTTACAAGGTTTATCAAACCCTTCTTATTTATCCTGACACTCTTTGATTTTCTTTGGAGTTACTGTCTCTTAGCTTTTACAAAGTTATCACTAATTCAAACCCAAACTCAACCTAGTTGAATATCTCAATGCATTCAAATATATTAGTCTAATAATTCCATCTTTTTGGAGAAAACTTTCTGGAACCTTCTAATCTGCCCCCACCGGGGCTGCTGCTCTCTGGACCCGCTACACAGCTGGGTGATGCATGGCCTTGTGCCCTCTCTACACCATCACTCAGGAAAATCTTCTTGTCTTCCTCTGAACACTCCATTTCCTTGTTCTCGTGTGTTCCTCACCTGCAGTGTACGCCCTTTTGTACAGCGCATCCTTCAGTGGACGTGAGGGTGGGTGCAACGGAATGAATTTTTGAATCTTCAATGTCTGAAGAAAGTGGTTTTACTCTATCCTCACACTTAATTAGTTAGGCTCAGTTAAATCTAGGCTGGAGGTAATTTTCTCTCAGAACTTTGAAGTCCTTCCCCCATTGTCTTGCTTCTGTTGTGGTTGAAATTTCTAATTTCTGGTCTGATTCTGTAATTTCTAATTCCCAATCCTTTGTTGGAAAATCCTTCTTTCCCCCCAACTCTACAAGGCTGCAGGATCTCCCTCTGTTTGCAGAGTTCTGTGCTTCCTCAGTGATGGATCTGGGAGTGGGTTTGTTTCAACTTGTGTGGGACTCTCTATGGACTTTTTCAATCTGAAAACTCAACATCTTTCATGTGGAAACATTTATTGAATTGTATTCTGATTATTTCCTTCCTTTCATTTTCTCTGCTCTCTCTGGAACTCCTATTTTTTAGATCTTTGAACCTCCTGGGTTGGTTCTCTAGTTTTCTGGTATTTTTCTCTCTTTCATTCTATTTTCTGGGGAAATTTCCTCAGTTTTATCTTCCAATTCATCTGAGGTTTTCATTTCAGATGTCGAACTTGAACTTCAAACCGCTTTTGTTGTTCTCTGAACGTTTTTCTGAGGCTTTTTTCTTCTACAGATAGTTTCTTCCCTGTTGCTTTTCTCTTTGTTTCTGTGTCTTTCACCATTAGATGCCCTCGTCAGGTATGTGGTGATCTCTGTGCATATGAACAGTGTGAACCAAAAGCTACGAGGCAGTCCTGGTTTGGACGGGGCTGTGCTGGGCTTCTGGTGCAGTGAGCTGGCTTTTCCTGGGGAAGCCCTGAGGTCAGCATATTTGTGAGGGTTTTTATTTGTGACTTTTGCCTAGAGAAAATCTTCTAATCTCTTGTCTGAAGGGACAGACATACTGGCATTCTGGGAAGCAGGTGGGGTGAAGCCTGGGATCTTAGGTTCAGTGTTTACATGTTCACCATCCCTTTTCCAATAGGGTCATACTATACTCTACTGTGCCTGGTCTGTCTTAGTGCAGGGACATCATTTTACACGTACTTCCATGGGATCAGACCTCCCGTCTTCCACCACAGCTGGGCAGGGGCTCTAAGTGCTGCATAGAGAGACTCTGACCGACCCTCACACCCTCAGCTCCACCTCCCCCCATTCCCAGGTCTTCAGCATCCAAAGGATTTACAATCTAACTCAAGCTGCCTCCTGGTTTTACTTACTGCGGGCTTAGCATTCAGCTTTCTTAGGTGGCTCTGTTAGGCTACCTGCTTCCGAACCAACAAAATTCTGTTGTCCTCTATCTTGTTTCTTGATTCCTGGAGGGTTTGTCTGTAACTGCCCCAGCTGTCCTAGGAGTGGAATTCAGGGAGTGCACAGCTAACTGCTTGCATTAAAGCTGCCGTCTTTACATGAAAGTTCCATTCTGCTCTTTTTACACAAATTAGAGAATCACTGTTCCTGCACACTGACAGGGACCCCAGGAGTGTTAACGCAGGAAACTTTTCCCTTCGGAGAGAAAGTGTGTTGTTTAACTTAGAGATGAGGTGGACGTCACGCCAGGAAGAAGAGTCTTGTTCAAGGTCATACACAGCCATGCAGATAGACACTATGCTGCTATCTATTCTATGTACTGTAATTACCCCTCAAAGATTTTAGTCTTTCCTTGTTTTTTTAATTTAGGACTACTTCAGTAGTAACAGCTTGATCCTTTTCTGTAATACTTTACATTAGCATCCTCTTCTGGTGGGCAGATGAATTCTTCATATTAGGCTAGTAGATGTTGACAGTACTGTTTAACAAATGCAGCACTCTAAAGGAAAATGAAGGATAAAAAGAAAACTGTGCTTAAGTACTTACAGATTCTTTTCTGCCAATAGTTTTGCTGTGTGAGCGGGAACGAGAGATGTTGCTAAAAAAGGAATCCTTTTTAGTAGCAGATGAAGGTGGGGAGCCAGTAGCTTCTCTTCCTCCAGGCAGACTCTCAATGCTTGGAGATGAACTGATGTTTTTAGAACTTTGTCCTGTGAGAAAAATTAAGTAGCAATAATGAAACACCAGACACTTCCACTAACCTACTGAACTTACTGCTTTTAATAAATGATTAATTACAATACTTCTTTTCTCCATATGGGCAACATAAGGACACGGATGTACCAAAATGCATGCATTTTTATGTATCTGAACAGCTGCTGATTTTTTAGAAATGAACTACTGCTATAGTTTTCTACATGTAATTTATACTATAATAGTCCAAGTGTTGCACATACATAAAAAACTCAAAAATCCGATTTTTAGAAATCACACGTTAAATAACTGGATCTGCCCTCACTAATGGAATCATCCTTAATAACAGAAACCAGAAACTATTATAATGTATTATAACATACATTTTAATATTAAAAAACTAAATCCTTCACCAGTTTTTCAAAAGAGCCTCTTTCTTCTTTACTTTTCATTAACTGCAGAACAGATATATGGTTACCTGCAGCCTATGGTAGAAGCAACTTGAAATGGGACAAGATGCTGGATCACAGGGCCTCTTTTTTAAAAAGACTCATCTCCACATAAAAGTGGGTGCATCTGTGATCCCAGTGATGCCTCTTACTGGAGCCATAAACCTCCATTAGGAGCAAAGGCTCTAGTAGGTCCTGCTGAAAGGGCAGCTTGGTGTTAAGACAGGTACGTAATCTCGGCTGCAGCCAGACCCACACAGGTCTCACTTACACAACAGGGACCCGCCCGTAAGACTGTTGTGGGCACTTAGGGACCTAGCAAAATACCTGCTGTACATGCATTCACTCATTCAACCATTTAGAACTAAAGGCCTAGTAAATGTCAGACGCCCAGACACTTGGGTGGAGGGCGAGAGTGGAAACTAAAACTGCCAAAAATACCTTCCTTCAAGGGATTTACTTTGTAGTGAGGAGAGACAAATACATTAGTAAAGTACGTGATTTTAGACGGTAGCAGTAGAAAATAAAGCAATGAAAGGGAATGTGAGTGTCAGAAGAAGGTGTTGCAATGTTATTTTATTTATCTTATTTTGTGCCTATTTATGCCTTCCACCTATTTCACCCACCCATCCCACAGTAACTACCAGACCCTTCTCAGTGTCTGAGTCTATTTGTTTTGTTTATTTGCTTTGATCCCATATATAAGTGAAATCATATGGTATTTGTTTTTCTTTGCCTGGCTTATTTCACTTAGCATAATACCCTTTAGTTCATCCAAGTTGTTGCAAATGGCAAGATTTCTTTCTTTTTGATGGCTTAGTAATAATCCATTGTATGTATGTACCACCTCTTCCTTATCTATTCACCTGTTGATGGACATGTGGGTTGTTTCCACATCTTGACTATTGTAAATAAAGTGGCAGTAAGTATATGTGAGCACCTATCTTTTTGAATCAGTGATTTTATTTTATTTCAGTATATTCCCAGAAGTAGAATTACTGAGTCATATGGTATTTCTATTTTTAGTTTTTTGAGGAACCTCCATAATGCTTTCCATAGTGGCTGCACCAATTTATATTCCCACCAACAGTGTAGGAGGGTTCCCTTTTCTCCACATCCTCACCAACACTTGTTAATTCTTATGTTGTTGATATTAGCCATTGTGACTAGTGTGAGGTGATATTTCATTGTGGTTTTGATTTGCCTTTCCCTGATGATTAGTGATGTGGAGCACCTTTTCATGTAACTGTTGCCATGTGTATATCTTCATTTAGAAAAATGTCTACTCAGGTCCTCTGCCCACTTTTTAATCAGATTACTAATTTTTTTTGGTGTTGAGTCATATGAGTTCTTTATATATTTTGGATATTAGCTCCTTGTCAGATATATCATTTGCAAATATATTCCCTCACACTATACATTACCTTTTTGTTTTGTTGATGGTTTCCTTTGCTGTACAGAAGCTTTTTAGTTTGATGTAATCTGACTTGTTTATTTTTGTTTGTTTCCTGTGCCCAGGAAGATATATCAATAAAAAAATTACTCATGCTGATATTCAGTAGATTCCTGCCTGTTTTCTTCTGAGTTTTATGGTTTCATGTCTTATATTTAAGTCTTTAATCCATCTCGAGTTTACTAAGGTGTATGGTATAAGCAGGTGATCCAGTTTCATTCTCTTGCATGTAGCTGTCCAGTTTTCCCAACACCAATTATTGAAGAGACTGTCTTTCCCCCATTTGTATATTCTTGCCTGCTTTGTCATATATTATTGACCATATAAGTATTGGCTTACTTCTGGGCTCCCTATTTTCTGTTGATCCATGTGTCTATTCTTGTGCCAGTACATTACTGTTTTAATCATGATAGCTCTGTAACATAGCTTGAAATCAGGAAGCATGCTATCCCCAGCTTTGTTTTTCTTTCTCAAGATTTCTTTGACTATTCAGTTTCCTGTGGTTCCATTTAAATTTTAGGATTCTATTCTCTAGCTCAGTGAAAAATGTCATTGGCATTTTGATGGGAAATGCATCAGCTCTGTAAATTGCTTTGGGCAGGATGGCCATTTTGACAATATTAATTATTCCTATCCATGAGAATGAGATGTCTTTCCCTTTATATGTGTCCTCTTCAATTTCTTTCATCAGTGTCTTATAGTTTTCAGAGTATAGGTCTTTTACTTCTTTGGTTAGGTTTATTACTAGGTATTTTCTTCTTTCTGATGCAATTATAAATGGAGTTGGTTTCATGCTTTCTCTTTCTGCTAGTTTGTTATTAGTATATAAAAATGCAACAGATTTCTGTATATTGATTTTGTATCCTACAGCTTTACTGAATTTATTTATTAGCTTTAATAGTATTTTTGGTGGAGTCTTTAGGGTTTTATATATATAGTATCATGTCATCTAAAAATAGTTTGACTTTTTTGTTACCAATTTGGATGCCTTTTATTTATTTTTTCTTGTCTGACTGCTGTGGCTAAGACTTCCAGTACTATGTTGAATGAAAGTAGTGACAGTGGGCATCCTTATCTTGTTCTTGATCTTAGAGGAAAACCTTTTCACTTTTCACTGTTGAGAATGATGCCACTGTTGAGTGGATTTGCAGTATATGGCCTTTACTGTGTTGAGGTATGTTCCCTCTATACCCACTTTGTTGAGAGGTTTTATCATGAATGGATGCTGAATTCTGCCAAAAGCTTTTTCTGCATCTATTGAGATGATTTTTATCCATCCTATTTTAAAATGAATGGCCAGGAAAGGTGACAATGAGAATAAAGTACATTGAAAGTTGAGTAAAAATTTGAAGAAGGTGTAATACCACCCTTACAGATAGGAACAGCAAGTGCAAAGGCCCCAAGCAGGACCTTTGTGTTTGAATAAGAACAGTAAGGTGGCCAGTGTGGCTAAGGCTAAGAATGGGGGGCAGGGGTAGGAGAGGAGGTCTGAGAACAATCAGGGTATATCTCAGGTAGGGATTTTCATTACTTTTAATCAGAGAAGAGAAGCCATTAGAAGTCACTAGAGAATTTGTGCAGAGGAGTGACTTAATTTTAGAAGGACAGCTCTGGCTGCTGTGTTGAGAGTAGAATTGGGAGAGGGAAAGGGCAGAAAGAAAAGCAGGGAAATTGATTTTTGCCACTTCAAAAATCTAAGTTACAGAATGATCACAGCTTGGAGGTGAGAAGTAGTCAGATTCTGGGAAAAAAGTGACTAGATTTACTGATGACTCCATTAGGGGTATGAGAGAAAGAAGAGTCAGTTTTACTCCAAATGTTCAAACATTAGATAGTGGTGATGGTTAAGCATCTCTGTGAATATACCAAAGCCACTAATTATGTATTTTTAAAGAGATGAATGTTATGGCATATGAATTATGTCTCAATAAAGCTATTATTTTTGTAAAGTCAGTTTTCACATGTGATCCCACCTAGTGACTGGCAGGAAAGGGCTTACCCGTTTCCACCCAACACAGGACTTCTCTAATAGGAAATCCTGGCTGCAGAGTTTCCTGTTGAGTTTGCAAGACTTTTGTGAGGTCTGTATGGCAGTCTGTTGACATCCCTACTGCTGGTTCTATTCCCTCCTCTTTTTCTTTTACAGATGTTATTCTCCAATAAACCACTTGTACTTCTAATTCTGTCCTAGGGTCTGCTTTCTGGAGACTCCAACTTGCCATAGGTCATACGGGAGCTCAGACTTGAAGTACAGCAGAGCTGCCCATGAGGTTAGGAACAGAGAGGGGAAAACAGGTCCTAAGGCCCAGAGCATCTTGTCTAGACTATCAAAATTCCCCCTGGACCATCTTCCCACCTCTGCCTCCATTTGTCTCCTACCCACCTCCAGGTCTCCAGGTCTTACCTTTACCAGGCAACTTTTTCATGGCAATGATTTCAATTGTACAAGGCCTAGAATGTTGGAGCTAAAAAGATCTCAGGAATCACCTTCTTCTTTAAAAAAAAAATTTCTCTTTTTAAAATCACACCACTAATATACAAATAAACTGCAGTGTCCTTTCATTTTCACCTGAATGACTCTTGTCACGTGCGGCATTTTTGCTAGCAGTGAATTCTGTTTTTGTTTATCTGTGACTGTCTTAATTTCTTTTTCCTTTTTGAAGGCTAGTTGTCCTGTATATAGAATTATTGGTTGACACACTTACAAAAAAATCTGTTTGAATATATCTTCTTTCTATCTTCTGGCCTCCATGGTTTTTGATGAGAAATCGGCTGTAAATCTTACTGAGGTTCCTTGTATACCATAAGCTGTTTTTTCTCTTGCTGCTTTCAAGATTTTTTGTTGCTGCCTTTTAGCCCTTTGATTATGATTTATTTAGGTACAGATCTCTTTGAATTAACTGAGATTTTTGGTAGATTGTTTATCATAAAAACCTGGGATGTTTCAGCCAGCATTTCTTCCAATAGTCGTTCTGCCCCTTCCTCCCTATTCTCTCCACCTAGGACACCCGTCATCTGTATGTTGGTGTGCTTGATGGTATTCTACAAGTTTTTGAGACTGTTCATTTCATTCAATCTTTTGTCTTTGTTTTTCAGACTGCATGATCTCAGTTGA